TCTTGAAAGAGATGGTATGGAAGAAATTACATTCAGATAGAATATAAGGGATGAGGGAGTGAAACGGACAGACAGGCTTCAGTAAGCAATTTCTGTTTCCAGCTGCAGAGGTTCCTCTCTGCGGCATTTGGGAAGGTACTTTTAGACAAGCAATATTTGGCTAGCAAGTCATTCAGTGCCACATTTAATATATTTAGCATATGCTTCTATTTTTAAAAATGGTGTGATAGTTACAATTATAATCAAGAGCAGTCTTGTATCATGTGTTTGTGTCTGTTTATTAATAATGCTTTGCTCTGAAAATTACAGCTTCGCTTCTCCCACACATACACACTTTTGCACTTCTGCTTGTGCATAGGTGGCTGCCAAGCCCGCCCCTCTGGCTGCAGCCCATTGCATCCCCCCCCCCAAAAAAAAACCCCTTTGTGGACAGCCAGGTGGTTCTCCAGGCCAGTGTCTAGCACTGGAGCAATACAGTGTATCTGGGGAAAGATTGGCAGTGCGTATACACACCTACACACCATATGCATGGATAAAACTTTGCTTCGCACAAGCAGGGGTGTGCGTCTGCATCAGTGCAGTATTCAAGAACAAATATTGCAAAGTGGAATTTATGAAAAGTGTGGTTGCAGTACATGGAAGATTGTCAAAGAGGGATGACATTTCCTTCCTCAAGGTAACTGTAGCTTACACCTCCTATGACAAGTCCCTTTTGTAATGCATGGTGGGATCAAGAAATGGTTCAAATTGTGTTGTTACAGTTCCCATGAATGATTAAACAATGCAGAAAAGGTTGTGCGTTATTTAGCAACATTAGATTTTCTTCTTTGGTGTAGTGCTTAAGTGTGCGGACTCTAATCTGGGAGAACCAGGTTTGATTCCCCACTCCTCCACTTGCAGCTGCTGGGTGACCTTGGGCAAGCCGTAGTTCTGTCAGAGTTGTCCTTGAAAGGGCAGTTCTTTCAGAGCTCTCTCAGCCCCACCTACCTCACAGGGTGTCTGTTGTGGGGAGGGGAAGGGAAAGGAGTTTGTAAACTGCTCTGAGACTCCGAGTGAAGGGTGGGGTATAAATCCAATCTCATCTCCTCCTCCTCCTCCTCTTCTTTGCACCTTGAATATGTTGAGTGGCCCCAAAACATCTATGAGTGCTCAGTCACAAAAATGCATGGTGGAATAAGTGTTGTTAGTCCTTAAGGCACTGCCGTACTTGTGTTCTGTCTTCCCAGAACTCAGGGCATTGATGCAAAAGTTTCTGAGAAACTTAAAATCCATCTCACTTCACTTATGCTGACGTGGCTAACAGCCATGTGGTTCCCCCAAACCACTGAATAATTTACCTTCTTTAAACCATCTTAATGCTAATAAAAGTCTCTGGGATTAGCTGTAGGTTTGTTTTCTGAGAGCATCCGAAGAAACCTGGTGAGTCAGTCCAAAGGACCATCTGGGGCAACATCCTGTTTCCAACAGTGGCCAGTTCACAACAGGGCGTGAAGTAAAGAACCCTCCCCTGTATTCAAAGGCACCCTGTCTTTGAATTTTGAGTTTCTATTTAGCTGCCATGACAGAGGGCAGAATTGTACAGCGTCGCTTCATCTAGAAGTCCTGGAGCCTGCTAGGAATGTTAAAAGCTCCGATCTAAAGAACCCACACAGCTAGTTCTGCACATCTAAAGGGGCTTTGGGATTGTTCTTCTCAAGCAGTAGCCCTCACAAGCCACTTGGAAAACTGCTTTTTATACTAAGGGCATTTTGGAACCAGAGTGTGATACATCATGAAGGGTCTTGTGTTCAAGGGAAAAGGTCAAAAAAATCCATCTTGGGCACATCTGGAACCACTGTTTTAATCCTGGTGCAAATTCCCAAGCGTTCCTTAGTATGGTCAGTTAAAATTCCATTTTGTTGGACTGATTCCATCACCTTGTCTTTTTGGGAAATGTGCCGAAGAAAATTCTGGTGTGTATACCAACAGAGCTTTAAAAGTAGGCCCTAGTCCATGAAAACTCGGGTTGAAATAAAACCTCACTAAGACCTCTGCTTATTTTTACTGCAACAGACTAAACGAGCAACCACTCTGGAATTATAAAAGAGACTAGTTGAATCTCTTACAAGATGATTTCTCAAATTGACTCTTGCTAGGGAGTCAGAAAAAGTGAATTTGTACCAGCCAGATCTGAAACATTGGCTCTGCCCTGCTCTGCTCTGGAGAGACAGTTTGGTGTAGTGATTAGGAGCACAGACTCTAATCTGGGAGAACCGGGTTTGATTTCCCACTCCTCCACATGCAGCTGCTGGTGTGACCTTGGGTCAGTTAAAAGTTGTTCAGAGCTGTTCTCTCAGGGAACAGTTCTCCAAAGAGCTCTGTCAGCCCCACGTACCTCACAGGGTGTCTGTTGTGGGGAAGGGAAGGGAAAGGAGTTTGTAAGCCACTCTGAGACGCCTTCGGGTAGTGAAGGGTGGGGTATAAAACCAATCTGTTCTTCTCTTCTTCTTTAGTGGCATGCTTACTACCTTCTCCCCTTTTTTTGATCCTTGCATCATTTAGGCCATGGTTAATTGGGACCCTGTGGACCAGACTGTTCTTGCTAATGAACAGGTGGACGAAAATGGCTGTTCGTGGCGCTCAGGAGCAAAAGTGGAAAAGAAATATCTCAAACAGTGGTTTATTAAAACATCCGCCTATGCAAAGGTGTGAGTATAAAAGATTCTGAACAATGGCGCCTGCCCTCAAAAGTTTGTAGGTTGCATCAGTCATGTCTATTGTTAAGATTAGGTTTTATTTCTATTCTGTTAACACGAGGAGGACATTGGTGCTGCTAAATTGTGCTGGTACAAAAATGGATACTACTGCATTATTATATTGTGCCTGGAACACTCTTTAGGCTTGAATCATAGAATCACAGCATTGGAAGGTGCCATACAGGCCATCTAGTCCAACACCCTGCTCAGTGCAGGATCAGCCTAGAGCATCCCTGACAAGTGTTTGTCCAGCCGCTGCTTAAAGACTGCCAGTGTGGGGGACCTCACCACCTCCCTAGGCATCTGAGTCCACTTGTTGCACAACGCTTCCTATAAAAAAGTTTTTCCTAATATCCAGCTGGTACCTTCCCGCCCTTAATTTAAACCCATTATTGTGAGTCCTATCCTCTGCTGCCAACCAGAACAGCTCCCTGCCCTCCTCTAAGTGACAGCCCATCAAATAGAGAGCCAGTTTGGTGTATTGGTTAAGTGCGTGGACTCTAATCTGGGAGACCGGCTTTGATTCCCCACTCCTCCACTTGCACCTGGCTGGATGACCTTGGGCAAGCCTTAGTTCTGATAAGAGCTGTCCTTGAAAAAGAGCAGTTTCTGTCAAGAGCTCTCTCAGCCCCACCTACCTCTGTTGTGGGGAGGGGAAGGGAGTTTGTAAGCCACTCTGAGACACCTTTGGGTAGTGAAGGGCGGGGTATAAATCCAATCTCTTTTTCTCTTAAAGAGAGCAAAACCCCCCTCAGCCTCCTTTTCTCTCAGCCTTTCCTCATAGGGCTTGGCCTCCAGGCCCCCGATCAACCTCATCACTCTCCTCAGCACGAGCACTATTCTGTCCACATCCATTTTGAAGTGAGGCCTCCAGAACTGCACACAATACTCCAGGTGCGGCCTGACCAATGCAGTGTACAGAGGGACTATGACATCTTGTGATTTGGATGTTATGCCTCTGTTGATACAGCCCGAGATTGCATTAGCCTTTTTTTTTACGAGTGGAGCATTTCAGAGGAACTTTTGATAATACTATGTTAAATTAGCATTTTGTGCTAACAACTAAAAAAAACAAAACAGGCTTCATTATATTCTCACAAAAACAAACACTTTTATGTGTGTAAGTGGTAAATAGACTTGATCTGTGTGGTACATAACTAAGAGAAATAATTTTTAATGTACTATTTTTGCTTCCTGTTTCTTTTCCTTTATGACAAACCGGGAAAGATTCAGTGTTGCACTTGAGAGCTAGAATAGTTGTAGTGGTTAGATTAGGGTCCGGGAAACCCAGGTCCAAGTCCCAATTCTGCCATGGAAGCGTATTGGGGAACCTTGGGCAAGTCACATACCTCACAGGGTCATTGTGAAGATAAAATGGAGGAGGGGAGAATGTAAGCCACTTTGGATCCCCATTAAGGAGAAAAGTGGGGGATAAATGAAGTATGAATTCATTATTTTTCTGAATAACTTATTCCTTAGCCAAGTCTCTTACACTGCCGGTTAACAGCATTTGAGTTGTGTATTTTTTCCTACCGTCTCTTCCTTTCTTTCAGTGATTTTTATCTGCCATATGATAGGGCAAGCTTTAATCAAACATTGGCCCACCTAGGCCTTGACCACAGTAGTTTCCCATGCTTCCTTCTAGAACAACACAGAGTAGATGGGTAAAGACTATATGAGCTGGAGAGAAGCAAGTAGGATATGACCTCTGGAGTTAATGCTGTTTAGGATTGCAGGGAATTTAACTCACTATTTTGCTTGCCTTTATGGCTTCTCTTTTTCTTCTCATTTTTTTCCCCCTTGGCCAGCGCCTTCCATTTTTCTTTTTGCTGTCTTCAAAAGTCCACTTAAAATTAACTGCCAAGAATGGATAATAACTTCACGTAATGTCTTTGGTACATGGGAGTATCTGTATTTCTAGTTGCATTTGGAATAATTGTTTTTGTCTCATAAAAAAGTTGGAAGTCATTGAATACCAGCACTGGCTTTGCATCTGACATTTGAGCATAACACAAGACAATAGCAACAGGGCTGCACCTCGTATCCTGGAATTTTTCTTTCACTTAAATATATATTGTATCATCCAGCCTGAAGAAGAATTTGAGAGCACATGAACACTTGCACACAGTTATGTTTCGTTTGGTTGGTCCTAATAAAAGGTATTATGAAGGGCTTTAGGTTTGGGATTTAACTTTCCAACATATAATACTTTTGCTCTTGATTGGCTGCTAGCCACCCATGTGAATAAATTTGGGGAGGGGCTTTAGCTCAGTGGTAGAGCATCTGCTTGGCATGCAGAAGGTGCCAGGTTCGATCCTTGGCATCTCTCGTTATGGCGACCAGGTAGTAGGTGATGTGAAAGGCCTCTTCCTGCGACTTTAGAGAGCTGCTGCCTGTTTGGCGATCTGACCTTGATGGACCAGTGGTCTGATTCATTATAAAGCAGCTGCATGTGTTCAAATTAAAGAGAAGATCGTCAGACTTGTGCACTTGGGAAATAATATATCTTTCTGGTTCAGAAACTAGACAAAGTATTATTATTGAGCGGGGACAGTATCTGCTTCAGCCCCTGCAAAGTACATGCTGTGAAGAAAGTAGAGCTTAACTCACTCTTTCAGAAGGATGCTCTGCTCACTTTGTGTAATACAGTGACATCATTGACTGACACGTTAGCTTTAGCACATCAAAAGACCTCCGTAGATTTGCAGGAATGTCCATAAGGTAGCTTACTCCTCTAAAGCACTTTATGTCTGCATTTCTGCATTTACTTTCTGCATTTACACACTGCAGTTTTCCCTGTTTCAAACAGTGCTGAGCCCCTCCTTTGTCACAACTTTGCCACTTCCTCCCTTGTGATGTGTTGACCCTCTTTAAAGACAATCGTTTAGGACTCCCCGCTGAGCTCCAGCTGACAGCCCAGAAATAGCTGGACACACTGCAGATAGGGCATGACATTCACAAAATACATCTTTCTTTCTTCTTCTTTTTTGCTGTCCATCCATGATAGACGTCTACTTGGTGCTCAGTCTTACAAAACTTGCGCTTCAGTTTTTGGAAAATTCATTCTAACAACGGGGAAAATCTTTTTACAGGAACAGATTTCTCCTAATCAAAAAAACCCTCTCAAATATTAATGATGCTTCTTCAGAGTGGAATTAGTACGTTTCCATAGTTACTTAGTAATGTATGCAGATTCCTTGAAAAGGTTCCTGTTTAGCATTAGTAGTTTCTATTTAGTTAAAAAAATTTTGGTGGGTAACAGCTATTTTGTGTTGAAATCTGAGGGTGGCCCTTTTTTTGCCCTTGCAAGCTGTACTGGAGTTCTAAGAAAACGCCTCTTCTCCAAACACACCTATATGCATCAGCTTTGTTCTCTTACCCTAATGCAGTAAAAGATTGTGAGAGAGCCTTCACTACTTATCATTGCTATGATTTCGTTCACCATTGTTGTCATAGAGTGAGGGCAAGACAGTACTCTGGAGTAAGTAACCCCCTTCTTTCTGTGGGTCATTACTTCAGCCACAAAAGAAGAGACTAGTGGACTGCAGAGCAGTGTTCTGGAAGAGAGGAGGCAGGTAGCATACAAAAAGCTAGCGCCTTGTCCTAGTGATGCTCCGCCTGAGCACTTTCCTTTCAGATGATTGCGTTAATCCTGCTGCTGGTTCAGTGAACCCAGCGTTAGTACTGTCGTGCTTGGTGAGATGCAAGTTTGAGCACATGGAAAAGGAAATAGCTGAACAAACTGTAGCACTGTGACCATAGGTCATTTCGGGGGGGATCGCAGTTCCCCCGGGTGAGGTACGGGGGGCGGGGCACATGACGAAGCCCCGCCCCCTGCTCCCGGCCGGCCGCTTCCAGCCCTCATTCAGCCAGGAGGAGGCAGGAGAAGAGGGAGGGTAAGTTGCTTCCTCCCTGCCTCTCCCCACCCCTGCCTGCCTGGGGCCAGGGAGGGCCTTCGCGGGGCTTCCTTGCACTCCTGCCGGCCTTGCAGGTCCACCGCCAGGCCCCTCATGGGGCTCGGCAGTGGAGCTGTAAGGGCGGCGGCGGCCGGGACCGTTGGGGGCGGGGTGTGTGGCCTTATGACACACTTCCGGTGATGTCAGGGGGTGTGGCCTTATGACATACTTCCGGTGATGTCAGGGGGTGTGGCATATGCTAATGAGTTATGCTAATGAGTTCCCCTAGCTCTTTTTCTACGAAATGACCCCTGACTGTGACTGAACTTGGGAGTAGGTATGGATGGGTAATTAATAGAAACATCTTTCTAGTTCCTTCCGAACAATAATTTTATGATGTGCAGCTAAGCCCAATTGGTCACACAGAATCCATGAAATACCAGTTTTCTCCTGGAACTTAAGCATGCCTGTTGATGCTTAAAACTGACACGTCCACAATAATGAAGACATCTGCCATATATAGTAGTTGAAGCCTGCTGCTGTCCTATAACAATAGGGTTGGAAATCCCTGTAGGTTGAGTTCTCTGAAGCTATATGGCAGATCCAAGTTCTCATATCTTTCTTCTATCATAAAATTCAAAGGGGATTATATAGGGTTCCTGAGAGGTCTCTTTCTAGGCGTGGTCCAGACCTCCACAGCTATGCCCTCCTTAACCTACTTTTTATTTATTATAATCCTTTTCCTGCTTTTTTCCCTAGCAGTATCTTAACAATAAAAGCAGCCGATTTAAAAATTAAGCACAACACCTTGACCTATATCAAGTGCTTCCCACTGAAGAACAGTCAATGTCTGCTCTTTGTTTTTTTCCTTCCTGGTTGCAAATTGGAGTCACACTTTGCTTTTAAGCCTGAACATGTTTATGTGTACAATGCTTAAAACTATCTGGCCAACCCCCTTGTATGTGTGTGACTGTCCTGGGTGTCCTTCAGAGGTCAAATAGTACAGAATACAAGAAACAACAAAGCCCCTATTACACTTGTAAGGCAGTAAACA